AAAATCGGAATTTCTAGAGGAGGTCCACAGAATCTGCATTTAGTTGACTCTCCCGGACATATGGATGCCCACTGATGTGGGACGATCAGGGCTGTGAGTGAAATACAAGCTTCCTCTTTCAGGCCAGCCTGCTTCCCTGTGAGGGTATTTGTGCCCCCCACCCCGCCCCAGCCCTGTCCCTCCCTTTCACCCTCTTCCCCATCTGAAGGGAGAATCGTTTTAGAATTTACCTGGTCTGATGGGGCTCTGCATGCAGTTCGGGGATGGGATGCCAGGGTGAATGGGTGCAGACGCCCGACTGCTGAGGTCCATGACGGAGGGGGCTGCGGAGGAAGCCGGCTGCAGCCCGGGAGGGTGAGGGCTGTGGTCGTGCTGGGATGGGCTGGGGGGAATGCCATTTTCCGACAAAAACTCCTCCAGGTCCATGTATTCCAACTGGAAAGTATCTCCGTCATAGGGAAGGGTTTTGTCCCATAAGGTGGGTCCCAAGAACGCCGACTGGGGGACCGTTGGGCTATTACTCTCATCATCCAGCTTCTTTTCCTTATCTTTATCTTTACTAAACGCTGCAGAAAAGGGGGAAATTTGGACTTTAAAAAAGAAAAAAAAGTGTCGCTTTTTAAGTCACCCCTCCTGGCCTCTGCTACAAAACACCACGTTCAAAATGTTCTCACAAACACCAGGATTCTTCTCTGGCTGCTGGCTTTTGTAGATCTAGAGTTAAAAGTTCAGACAGGACATGGATCTCTGCCTGTTTTTCAACATCTTCCTATTTACTTTGGAAAGAAAGCTCTAGTCCTAGTCCTAGTCCTTGGGACAGGGTTACAAGCTGATCTAGGATATAAACAAGGGAATGCAGTTTTCAAGTACATGATTTGAGGAGAGAAATAATTTAGATCTACAGTGAGAAAGTAACACCTGCAGTTACATACAAATGCTGTGATTTTTAAAGAAAACAGCCAATAACCAGGCATGATTTCTCTTCCAGGAAATTCATTACAGTAACAATATGAGGTCATTCAGACGTAGCCAGTGAGCTGAGGATTCTAATTTTGGTAAAGTAGGGACTCTCCACCCTCCTTTGAAAGCATGCATTGAGCACCTACTATATACCTGATACTTTCCACATATTGCCTCCAGAAATCTCATAATAGATCTGCAAAGAGCTATTATCCCCATTTGTAAGGAAGACACAGAGGCTCTAAGACCTAAAAGAACTGACCAATGCCTCATGCTGACAGAAGAAAAAACTGAGAATTTCCCGAGCCTGCATATGTTTGTTTAGAAAGCCGCTGGGGCACATTGTATTTTACAAAAGGAGGGTTTTTGTTTTGTTTTGCTTTGTGTTTTTTTTTATTTTTCCCCTCCCCCTCCCCAAAGCTTAAGTATGATCCAATTCACAAAAATTACACATGTATGCAATCTGTCAAAAGCACAGCTATTGGAAAGGTGATTACATACCACTAAGAGAGGTATGCAGCTCTGTCCTACCTGGAAGAACCTCTCACCCCAGGTTGTCTTTAAACCCTGCTCTGGATTTTGCCCATTCTAGTACTCAGGCGGGGGTGGAATCTGGGATTAGGGAATCTGGTTTCTGAGTTTCTTCCTCAGAGAAACACAGCCTCCGCTGCCATCCATTCTAATCCTCTAGTCTCATCTCCTGAGAATTTGACTTAAAACACCCACAGATGCAAAAGACTGCAGGCAGCACCTTCCTCCCAAGTGCTACTCCTTAGAGGAGAGTTAAAAGGGAAGCTATACTTTACAGAACGCGAACCAAACCCCTCAACTCTTGCAAAGCAACAAGTTGTCCCCCTGCTAGAAGAGAAGATGCGAGTACTCCCAAGCTATTTGTAGCCAAATGATCTTTCAAGACTTTTACACTCAAAGCCGCATGGTTCGCATTGGCTACTGTGACATCGAAGGCATGAAACCGCATCAGCCCAATTGACAAATCCCTGGCGGCACTAGCTCGGTTGGGCGCCTTCTCGCCCCGACCCCTCCTCTCCCGCTCCAGCCAAGGTTGCCTGGGGGAGGTTTGGGACTTACCAAGATAGGGTTCAAGCCAGAGGAGGCTCCAGCGCGGTTACACGTGAGCCTACTCCGCTCTCCCCTCCCACCAGGAAAAGTGCACGGGGAAAGTGTCAGAGCTGGAGGCGTGCACAGCTTCCCGCCCGGAGACCACTCCCCCCTGCCAGCCCCGGCCCCCACCCCGCTTTTCGAATTACCCCTGGCAGGGAGAGCACGAGGCTCCGCTCACACCTCGCGAGCTCCGGACGCCAACTAACACACAAACAGTAGCACGAACCAATACACAGGCTACGCTGCGGGACCCCCCCTTCCCCGCCACAACAGAACCAGGCCCTCTGGTTTCTCCTCCCCAGCCCGCGAAGCTCTGCCCTCGCGCAGGCGGTTTCACTCCGCGTTCGGGGAAGCCTCCATCTAGGGAGCACTGACCTGTCAAGTTATGACTCCCACCTGCGCCGGAGGACCGGGACCCAGAGAGCCTGGGTCGGTCCCAGCACTATTTTAAACGTTGCTCAGTGAGGGATCCCCCCCCCACCTTTGGAGGAGGGGGGGTGATGGGTGGGCGCTTTAAATTTCAACAAAGCAGGGATAGGGTGCCAGGGGACAGGGAGGGAGGGGATGGATGCTCCAGCAGGGTTGCCCGGCCAAGGAAAGGGACCCCAGGAGCGTCGTTCCTTCCCAGAGCGGGGCAGCCAGGAAGGCAGCGCTCACCGTCTTCGTGATGAAGGGGGAGCTTCAGCGGGTTCTCCAACAAGGACCTGAGCACGCCGTAGGGAGGCGGAATAAAGGTGGGATTCAGGGGGAGCGGTCGGGACATTTTCTCCATCGCGATGCACTCAAATTTTTTTCTTTAAAAAAAAAAAAAAGCCCAACAGCCCCCCAAAATGTTGCTGAGCTTTTTCCTCCGTCCTTTGCCAAAAGTACTCGCTTTCAAGGCGGTGGAGACAAGAAAAGAAAATTACTTATATCTTTATAAATACATCTGCATAAAAAAATAAAAACAAAAAACTTTCGGGTTCCCAGTGCAGATGGTCCCCGGAGAGCGCGCCAAGTGCCCGCGGGCTCCTCGGCGACGTGCAGGATGCTCTCACCTGCCTCGAACCCCTCGTCCTGCAAAATGTTCAAAATTGCGAAAAAGAAAGAAAAAATATGCAGATGGCTGCAAAAGGGCGGAAGGCACCGCGCGGCCCGGCCCCCACGCGCCAGCACCCGAGGCTGGGCGCCGTCCCACCCCACCCCCCTCCCCGCGCCGGCGGCCGCTGCTCCCCCGCGCTCCGCGGCCCCGCAGCGCCCGGCTCAGCGCATCCGGCCGCCCATGTGCCGCGGCCCTGACAAGAGTGACGTCAGGGCCCGCACCGCGCGCCGATAGGCGTGCAGGGGCGGAGCCACGCGCGGCACCGCCCGCTTGCCCCACCCGCCCCGCCCGCCCCGCCGCCACGTGTTTAGCGTCGTCGCGCGCGCGGATTTTCCAAGATCCTGCAGAGCTCTCCCAAGGTGAAGTGACAGGTGCCAGATCCCCTGGATCACCGATTTGGGCTGAGAGCTCAACTTTTTCAGAGTAGGAAGAGGAATGAGGATTTTTTTTTTTTTTTCAGTAGTTTTCAACATGGAAATAATCTGGGAGTAAAAAAACAAAAACAAAAACCCAGATGCTCAGGCAGCATCCCAGATCAATTAAATCAGACCTCTGGGCTGACATCCAGGCATCATTAGTTTTTGAAGTTCCCCAGGGTGGTTCCAACGAGCAGCAAGTTTGAGAATGACTGGTTTAGTTCGAATGGAAGGTAATCCTCTCGAATGGAAGGTAAATGCTCTTCTAAATATCTCTCCTGGGACGCCTGGGTGGCTCAGTTGGTTGGACCACTGCCTTCGGCTCAGGTCATGATCCCGGACTCCTGGGATCAGGTCCCGCATCGGGCTCCCAGCTCCACGGAGAGTCTGCTTCTCCCTCTGACCTTCTCCTTGCTCATGCTCTCTCTCACTGCCTCTCTCTCAAATAAATAAATTAATTAAAAAAAAAATCTCTCCTGGCCACAGGCAAGCTTAACACCCTCTCTCTTGCCCGGTTCCCAAAACTACTGAAAAATAACGACTTGCTTAGAAGTTCTAATGAGATACAAAGGTAGAGTGAAGAGAGAGTAACAGAGGGAGCGCTGTCATCAGTTTCCCATGCTGTCAGGAGGGCATTCAGAGGGATACACATTTTCCCGAGAGTGAATAAAGGCAGAGGAGACACACACACACGCACACACGCACACACGCACGCACACTAAATGGGGTTTCAGAAATATGTGCTGTAGGAGAGTACAGATGACTGTGCCCTGGTCAGGTTACAAGGTTTGCACAGTAATTAAAATAATTCTTTAAAGTATTCCTTAAGAAGGGTCTCGGGGGATGCCTGGGTGGCTCAGTTGGTTAAGTGGCTGCCTTCGGCTCAGGTCATGATCCCAGGGTCCTGGGATCGAGTCCCACTTTGGGTTCCTTGCTCAGCAGAGAGCCTGCTTCTCCCTCTGCCTCTGCCAGCCACTCTGTCTGCCTGTGCTCACTCTCTCTGACAAATAAATAAATCTTAAAAAAAAAAAAAAAGATTCTCGGGCTTCACTGCCATTGCAGTGGCTTCAGCATCTGGCCCTGAGGGTCCCAGCACAAGGCAACTGCAGTTGCTGGAGCCCCAAGGCTGTGGTATGCGAAGCCTTCTCCCCACAGTGGGGCTGGACACTGGCCTCAGGCCTGGAGAGCTCCAGGTGGGCAGGCAGGATCTTCCCACTCTCCCCACAACTCCATGCTAAGATCACAGCAGCATGATCTGGGAAAGGATCTGCAAGAAGGTATAGGCACAAATTAAAGAAAATGTTCTTTCTATGAGACACAAGGCTATCTCTGAGGTGGGATGTGGTGGTCTTGATGGAGTCTCGATGAATTTTCCTGAAATTCACCCCAGGAGAGAAGTGTAAGAGAAAAGGTACCTGAAAGCCAGGAGACCAGGAGCCAGGAGCCAGGAAAGCCAGGAGACCACACATGGGCACCAGGCATGGTGACTTCTATTGAATGCCTTCTCCTCTCAGCTGGGCTGTGATCAAGTGACCTCTGCAGTTCTCTTCACTCTAAAATGATAATGAAAAAATAACATTCTGAGATAGTGTGATGACGTTTCAAATTTCAGCCAAAGTCTGAAAAAATCAGCCTCTTAGCTAATGCCACCTACATTTGTTGAGTCCCAACTGTATGCCAAGGACTATGCTGGGACTGGGGAGAAAAAGATGTATAGGACATAATTCTAATGGAATAGGTTATGGCCTGACATATGCAAACATTATAATATAGTCTTTTTTTTTTAAGATTTTATTTATTTATTTCTTTATTTGACAGACCAAGATCACAAGTAGGCAGAGAGGCAGGCAGAGAGAGAGGAAGGGAAGCAGGCTCCCTGCTGAGTAGAGAGCCCGATTTGGGGTTTGATCCCAGGACCCTGAGATCATGACCTGGGCCGAAGGCAGAGGTTTTAACCCACTGAGCCACCAGGCGCCCCTATAATATAGTCTTAATAGAGCAAAAATGTGTACACGAAGGTGACACAGGTACTTATATGAGGAGAGGGATTCTAGAGAAGGTGTCTGAGCTGGGCACGGAGCTAAAGGACTTTCATGAATTTCCCAAATCCCGAAATTCTATTATATTGTTTTTCACAGAAGAAAGGACTCTTCCACCATCCTTCAGAGAGGAAGAGGCTATTTTCCTGCCTTCATTCCTCTACCTACCTATAAACACATTAAGTAGGATAGCTGAGAGCATCCTCTCGAACTGGTCAGAAACAGATTACAGATCCCAGGTGTGCACAAGGGTAACAGTCCATTAGCATTTCCCATGAAACCTCTATCAGTTCAAGTGATCTCGTTTCCCAGAGCGATCTTGGTCCTTACCATTGGAGAGAACCTAACACTGTGGCTTGAAATTCGATTTCTCATTGCAAATGGACACAATGGCATCCTGATTGATCAACCAGTCTCTTGGGAATTTGGTTCATACAATTCAGCTCTTCTGATCAACTCTGGACATGGGCCACACTGAGGACTGTCCCATGAGACCAGGATTTCAGGATGCACAATATTTGTACATGCAGAAGTCAGAGGGACAGGAATAGGAGAAAAGGAATTCCAGAAGCAAATGGCACGGGGGGAAGAGACAGAGAAAGGAAACCGGCAGACACAATTTGTGAACATGTTTTCATTTCTCTTGGATAAAGAAATCAGAGTGGAATTGCTATAACGTGGGGTAGAGATATGTTTGACTTTGTAAGGAACTGCCAAACAGTTTTGTTTTCTGTATTAGGTGAATTCTCCTGCATGGCCAGCAGCAGTCGAGAGTTCTGCTCGCTCTGGATTCTCACCAACATTTGGTAGTGTCGGTTTCTTAAAATTTGAGTCATGTTAAGTGCGTGGATAGCAATGTCTCATTGTGCTTTTAAGTTAATTTTCCTGATGACAAATGATGTTAACCGCTTTTTCATGTGCTCCTTAGTCATTGTGTATGTCCCTTTGCAAAGTATCTGTTCAAGTTTCTGGCCCATTTTAAAATTGGGTGTCTAGGGGCGGCTGGGTGGCTCAGTGAGTTAAAGCCTCTGCCTTCAGCTCAGGTGATGATCCCAGGGTCCTGGGTTTGAACCCCACATTGGGCTCTCTGCTCAGCAGGGAGCCTACTCCCCCCACCCTCTGCCTGCCTCTCTGTCTGCTTGTGCTCTCTGTCAAATAAACAAAATCTTTAAAAAGAATAAAATTGGGTTGTCTTATTTTTATTGAATTTAGGAGTTCTTTACATATTTGGGATACAGGTTCCCTTACCAGATATATGTGTTGTGAACATTTTTTTTCCAGCCTGTGGCTTGCCCATTAATGTTTTAACATTGTCTTTCCATGAGCGGAAGTTTTTAATTTTGATGAAGTTCAATTTACAAATTTGTTTTTTATGGTTATTACTTTCTGTGAACTAAGAAACCTTTGACCACTCGAAGTCTTGGAGATATTTTCCTCTAAAACCTTTATAGTTTAAAGTTTTTCCATTTAGGTCTATGATTTATCTCAAATTAATTTTGTATCTAGAATTGAGGTAGGGGTTGAAGTTTTTTTTTTTTTTTGTCTCATGAGGACTTCCAATTGTTCTAGCAGCAATTGTTGAAAAGAAGTTAATTTCCCCCTTAAATTATTTGGTGCATTTATATGACTGTATATTTGCGAGTTGTCCAAATCTTTTTTTTTTTTTTAAGATTTTATTTATTTATTTGACAGACAGAGATCACAAGTAGATGGAGAGGCAGGCAGAGAGAGAGAGAGAGGGAAGCAGGCTCCCTGCTGAGCAGAGAGCCCGATGCGGGACTCGATCCCAGGACCCTGAGATCATGACCCGAGCCGAAGGCAGCGGCTTAACCCACTGAGCCACCCAGGCGCCCCAAATCTTTTTTTTTTTTTTAAAGATTTTATTTATTTGTCAGAGAGAGAGAGAGACAGACAGACAGTACACAAGCAGGGGGAGCAGCAGTCAGAGGGGGAAGCAGGTTCCCTGGTGAGCAAGGAGCCTAATCCAGGATGCTGGGATCCTGACCTGAGCTGAAGGGAGATGCTTAACTGACTGAGCCACCCAGGTATTCCTGATCAAAACCTCTGCCCTTAAGGGACAAAATATTCAAGGATAGAATAATTTTATTTTATAAGTTTCCTAGGCTCTGATTGTTATCAAGCAACAGAACAAAGTTCATCAAAGTTCATGGCTAAAATAAATGGCTTGCTTTCAATGGCTCATTTGGTTTGTTACAAGACCTTCTACAAAGTTGTCTATATTAACTTAAAAGCCTGGAGGCAGAAGCAATGGCCAACTTGCTTTTTATGTACACAAGCAAATATTCATCTCTTGGAGGCTCCTGCTTACCACTATCAATATTTCAATACTTTAAAGAGAAAAAGAAAAAAAAAAGGTCAAAATCAAATACTTTGTTGGAAAAAGCCAAACTAATAAAGACCATAAAAAGAACATTTGACAAGTCAGCGGAAAACTCTTCAAGGAGGGAAGGATAGTAGAGGCTCCCGAGGTGTGAAATGGTTCTAAAAATAGGAATGATCATAGAAGAAAGGTTTCTCAGAATCAACTTCTTAAATGATGCCAGCACAGCCTGACTCTGCTCTGAAGCTCTGGAAATCGGCTTCTGCCCAGCCAGTGGTTTCCACCTGTCCAGTCATTTCAGGATTTTGAGTAGTGGGGTTGGGGAGAGAAGTCTTTCTCTCAGCCCAGTGGGCGAGGATGTGAGGCGGCCATTGTTGGCCCCAGCGCCACAGGTCGGCAGAAAGAGCTCATTTGAGGTGTAAGCAGTGTCTGTGTTTCAGATTCCCAATGGGTGTGAAACCTTGCTGAGCATACAATGCCTGCCACTGTACCTTACCAGGGGCTGGGAGCCTGGGGTGGAAAGAGCCCAACTTTGTGGTTATGAAGGGCTTTATACACCACCGAGCCAAACCTCTAGATGAACCTGTTTATCTTGTTGCCAGAAAGGGCACTTTGTCCAGGGAATTAATTCAGACGCGAAAGGCATCACATGGGAGTTCAGCTGGATACGCCTAACCCAGCTTGTCCTCCTCCTTCCTGAAACCTCTAACCCAGCTAAAACACTGAAAAGGAAAATTATATCTCACTGCCTTAATTCCTGGAGACCCTCAAATCTATTTGCTTGAGACAGGAACATGCAAATCCGAAACAAACAAACAAAAAAAACACCAAAAAACCACGTGTTGAGAATGCTAAGCTCTCCTCCAAAGACTCATGTCAAAGACCATGGCTAGGCTTTCCTACCTCTTCTCGGAGTCCTGTGGTGCTCTAGTAAACTCCAGTGAGAAAGACTAAGACAGACATAAGGGGCAGCAACTGAAGGGTGTGTGTTTAAGAGTTAGAGGCTTTATGTAAATGGATAGGAAGGTAGTAGGAGGAAAAGAGCAGAGAAGAGAAAGAAAGAAAGGATATGTGTGGTAAAAGGTGAGGAAAAAGATCAGTGCAGTGCTTTGTAATGGAATGGTTTGGGGCCAGACATCGGTATTTATTACTATCCCTACCAAAATAATAATCACAGCAGTATGATGAGAAGAAGGCACATTTATTGTGTGCCTAACTGGGTTCTGGCACAGCATTAAACACTTAAAAAAAATTTTTTTAGATATTTTATTTATTTATAAAGATATTTTATTTATTTGAGAGAGAGAGATAGCACAAGTAGGGGGAGTGGCAGAGGGAGAGGGAGAGGGAGAAGTAGACTCTCCACTGAGCAGGGAGCCCAATGTGGGACTCGATCCCAGGACCCTGGGATCATGACCTGAGGCAAAGGCAGACGCTTAACCGTCTGAGCCACCCAGGTGTCCCCTAAATACTTTTCATATATTATCTCATTTATAACTTTCAACCCTGATACAGAGTATGTAGAATTTTTATCCCCATTCTACAGATGAGGACAGTGAGAGTCACAGAAATTAGTGACATGCCATGTTCCTATGGCTAGCTAATACATGGAGATGCTATGAGTTGAAAACAGCTCTGCTTAACTCTGAAGCTTGTGCTCTTAACCTGGATACCGTAAGTGAATAGCAAACATCCATCTAATAAACTCACGGGGCTTCCAATCGGTTCAAATTCTGCCCCTGTCCTGTAACCTTGGATAACCTCCCTGATCTCAACCTTCTTTGTGTGAAATATAAACTAAGGCCTGTGTTTCCCAGCTCACGGAGTGGCTAAGGGGACTAACTGAGATCACACATCTGTAGGTGCTGGGTAACTTGTGAAGGGCCAAGCAAATGTGATGACTTGTTAATTGGGGCATATTTGCATTTTCTGGAGATGCTCCCACCTGTGAGTCTGCATCTCCGTGTAGTCTGTGATCTTAGAGGCTACTTTCCATCCAAACGTGTGTCCTTTTTTCTTCACTTCTTTCTCTCTCCCACCAGGGCAGATACCTTCTACTGCTCCCAGGACCCAAAAGAAATGGGAGTTTGAGATTCAGTGGGAAAACAAAATATAGCAGATTTCAAATAGCCCCTTAGGCAGAGTAGGGAAGGGATGCCCATTTCCTTTATCT